GTGTGTGTGTGTGTGTGTGTGTGTTTAAATATCGCAAAAATGAGGGTGCTCGCGAGCAAATAGACCAATTTTATGACGCTGATTTTAAAAATATGGTAATTTTAAGATCCATCGGACATTTAAATTTTTTTGTCGATCCATGTTCGAACCTCCAGAAGGCCTCAGAGGTGCAGACGCCGGGGCGGTGTCTCAATATTCGCTCCGGAAAGCGGTTACAGAAACACCGCGAAGGTTCTGCAATGGTCTCTGGCACGATATTTCATCTCATGTGAACAGCGAGAAAGCAAAAAGAAAGCAGCGGTTTCCAAACACAGCCGACGAACTTTTTCCGTCGCCGATCCGTCGCCGCACACCGCGCCATGTGAACCGGCCTTCAGACTTTGCGCCGTAGCATGTGGAAGACGTGAGTTCAGTTCACGCTTTGGGATGTTGTTTTTACGAGTATGGGAAGGTGGGGGGGACTCCTCACCCGGGGTAATTCCACACCACCACTTACAGCCCATATAACCAACAGAAATCTGTTTGACATTCTGCTTTAATCATTTGCTTCTGTCTGCCATGTTTTATTTTTCAATTCAGCTTTAATTTCTTGTATGTCTGTCTTTTGATTTTCATTTTGGCATGTGCGCCCATGTGGGTGAGGAATTGCCCCGCGATATTTGATTGTTAATTAAGTTGAAAAATGGAAGTATAGGGATTGTGATATCGTAGAATTCATATTATGTTTTGTTTCCAAACTTATCAGACCCAAAGTAAAATTGTTGTGGAGGATGTGTCCTCTTCCTACATAAAGTAGCTTCTATAACACTTGTCCCACAATCCAATAGAAAAGTACGGTGTGGAATTCCCCCATTTTACTATGTACACCTCCGACTTTGTGCTGGGACAACGTGTCCCACTCAGCAAGGGTCCGTCCACCATCTGGTTCGTCCCGACAGGCAGGATCGAAGTAGCCCGCCTCGTGAATATTATAGTCCGAATTGCGTTGATCGGGCCTAAAACATTATTTATAGCTTTAGTGCGATTTAGCACCTTGCTAGAAATACCTTAAACCCACTGCCCATTGCAAAAAGTTTAGTCAAATACCTTTTTGGTTTTAAAGTCTAGCACAATTGAGGGATAGTGCCGGGCAGTGCACACTTTATCAAAGTGACCTCTGCTCTCTGCTTTGTTTCATCAAATTTGACCCAAAAGTCAAATTAGACATAATATTATTGTGGTCTGTCCTCATCATCACCCATCTATTCAAGTTCTGTGAGTAAGTTGTGTGGGTCGTTAGCAGGTACTCGAGTGTGGTTTATCCTTCTTTCATTTATCGTCCTTATCTCTCCTCCTTCTTTCCTTTGTATGTTACTCTCTAATAATACCTCTAATCTTCGACATTTACTTGCACTTAAACTGAAAATAAGTTGGTTGTTTCGGTCTACCTCTGCCTCGTTTGCACTAGTTGACGGGTTGACAAAACGCTACCTTAGAAGTATCAAGTTCTATCTGACATTTTTGGAAGAAAATCATGATTTCAGAAACCTAATGTTCCATCTGCCTTATCAATATCATAAGAGTATTCGGAGTCATTATCAAGTTATTCAAAGAATTGCATTCGAAAAGCTTGACATTTTGTGAAACTCATTTTTTTTTAACGTCAAATTTCTCAAAACTAGGCAGCCTACTAAGCAGATAAAGCCTTGTAATTCTGAGGTAGTGAAAAGTAAAAATTTGACTGTAAATAGAGTGAAGACTTCTTATTCAAGATAATATCTTCAGTGCCCTTCCATGAGCGTCTAAGTGAGTGTGTGTGTGTGTGTGTGTGTGTGT